CATCTTTCTATCTAATGAATTCATACACAGCCAGCCTCCCTGTGAGCCTGTATCTGGTTCTTACCAAGTGCCTACCATGTGCTGGGCTGCATGACATGAGGCGACAGGCAAAATCATCCTACAAACCCCACAAACCCCACATATTCTGCCCTCTTTTGGAGACCTTTTCAATGATTCACTCAGAAGGAGCCAAGAACCTATGGCAGCAAGTTTAAGAAACAAAATAAAGTTACGGAGGACAGTTTATATCTCTTTTTTGTGATTTAAATTTTCTACTTGGAAAATGGACATAATTTCTGCTTTTCATTGGAGTTGACTGATTTTCACTAAATTTAGGAGACATGAGCGACGATGTTGCTCGATGATACTTTTTCTTTCTTTATAAGGCAGTCTGAGATCTTGAAAACCAAACAGGGTGGTCAAAAGTTTTAAATGAACCAATGGTCTGTGACTGCTTCATGAAGCATTAGTGGGACTGTATAAAACATTAATATTGGGCACCTGGGTGGCTCAGGTAAGCGTCTGCCTTTGGCTCACGTCATGATCCCAGGGTCCCAGGACTAAGCCCTGCACCAGGTTCCCTGCTCAGTAGGGAGTCTGCTTCTCCCTCTCTCTCTGCTCCCAACTCCTGCTCTCTCTCTCAAATAAATAATTAAATCTAAAAAAAAAACCCCCAAAATGAAACAGCAAAGAAAACCACAACCAAAACAAACAAACAATAAAAACAACAGTATTAACAAAAGTAAAAATTCTATTTTCTCTATCAAGTGATTCAAAACAACAATGAACTTGAAACATACTCCTGTTTGGCATTGTGGCACATTATATATGCAGGCAGGCAGCAGAGCTTAGAAATGGACATAAAGCCTGTACTCTGAAGTCAGTTCAGACCACTGAACCTGACCCCCCACAGGCCTGGCTAAGATACTTAATGTACTACACCCCACCATAGTTTATGTTTCCCCATCTGTAAAATTGGGAGAGTAAAGTATCTACCTCAGAGGGTTGTTGTAAGGGTAAATTAAAAAGTGGCCCATGGGGTGCCTGGGTGGCTCAGTTGGTTAAGCGTCTGACTCTTGATCTCAGCTCAGGTCTTGATCTCAGGGTTGTGAGTTCAAGCCCCATGTTGGGCTCCGTGCTGGGCCTGGAGCCTACTTAAAAAAAAAAAAAGTGACCTGCTATAAACCGCAGAACCTGCTGTCAGCGAGCAGCCATGTTCTTGTACTGCTTAAGCAAATGACTACAATCTGTTTGCATTCTCCAAATCAGGTAAGGCAGAGTTTAGGAAGAGATAGCCCCACAGACATCACCCTGGGATTATCCGCTAAGAAAAATGCACGTGCATATCATCTAGATCATTCTCATGATTACTCCTGGAATATGCTGACTCAGAGAAGGACTTGCTATGCTATTAGAACCTCTCATTTTTCAGGAACCTAATACCTGCATCTCAGATTCTGTATTTCTATGCCTTAATCCTTACAAATGAGGTCAGCAATCAAGGAAATTTGACATAAGATAGGGAAGCAAGGTTAACTAAATAGGTTGAAGTTTCAGGTGGGGCAAGGTACTTTTTATGTGACCAGAGGAAAAAAAACTGTAATATAGGTTTTCTGTTGGGAGGGAACTGTCAGGAGGGTTTAAGAGAGAAAACCAGGAGGTAGATTGGGTTCAATGTCCTAACAAGACCAGTTCAGAAAACAAGAGTCGGAGAGGCCAAGTGACTTGCATCTGGACAGAACGTGGGGGTGCTTAAAGCGGCGATCCAGGTGCTTCTCACCCAGAGTTCGAGCCAGGCGTCACCCCACGATTTGCAAGGTGGTCAAGAATGGTTTGCGTATCTGACCTTTAGAAACTAAAATGCTTTTATCAGGAATGCTTCTTCCAGGACTTTCATGAGTACTGTCATAATATCATTTATCTGACTATTCACTGAATATTCACTGAGTGCCTACTACGTGCCACACATTGTCGTAGATGCTAAAATACTAGAGTTCTGCAAATATCAAGCAGAAATTACCAATACATAATGCAGTGTTTACCACATAATAAAATGACAGGACAAATTAAAGACTGAAGTTAAATTCTGAAGTTTTTAGTATGTGTGGGTAAGGCATGTGCTTAAATGCTTACTGGAATAAGCAATCCAAAGGCACCGAGCGTGGGGTTGAAGCTCTGCAAAGCACACCTCCACTACTGCTATTTATTTAATGAATACTCCTGGGCACTCTTTAAATTGAAAGATGGTTCATTAGATTTGTGCATCTGCCCTTCTCGGCAATCTGTTGCGTTTCTGATGAAGGCAGGAAAAAAACATGAACATATCATTTTCGGGTCTGAGTAACTCAGCTTTCAATGATTACAAAGTCGTAAAGAGCTCAGGATACCCACTTTCAGGAAAACAATTTCTCCGATTCATTCTCTTTCCATTGTTACTAAGTTCTCTTTATACTCGTCTTGGAAATTTCAAGGACTACCCCTTTAAAAAAAAAAAAAACAAAAACGAATCACCTAATACATTATCTGCAAGCTATTAAAAATAAGTGTATTTTTAAGATATTAAAAGTCCCTTCAAAACTGGCTCAAAAATCACCTTCTTCTGTAATTTTTTCCCTTTTGTTCCAATCAAGGTAATCACTACCTCCCTGGGCTCCCATCCCACGGTATGCATCTAGCTCTTGCAATCTGCCCCAGGGGCTGGTTAGCTGTGTGGTGTGTGTGTGTGTGTGTGTGTGTGTGTGTGTGTCTGTGTGTGTAAATATAAACTCTTGGAAAACAAGGAAACACTTTTTTTTTTTTATATCTTTGTCCCTGTCTGAGTACCTGCTACATAGGAGATGGAAAATAAAAGTTGTGGACTGAACAGATGAAACACAGGTTCCCCTCAACAGGACCTTAAACTCTGGACCCACTCGCTGGGTATTCTCAGCAAACATTTATTCAAGGCCTCTTGTGAACGACACATGAGTGGAGCCTGGGACACAAACATGAACGCGAAAATGTCCCTGCCCTCAGAGGACTTTCTTTGCGCGAGGAGGCAGATGCTCCTCGCCATCACGTGCTCGTCAGAGGCCAAGCGTGACAGTGCTAGAGAGATGCTCTCTCAAGGGAGCAAATGTTTGCAGACAGGGCCGTGGGAGAAAGAGCCATATTCTTGAGAGGAGTTTCTGAAAGGTCTTTTCACCTCTCTTGTGAAGAAAGTTGATACACAAAAAAGAACTTTTAACGTTATATTTAGTGGATTCTCTTCTTTTTTTTTAAAGATTTTATTTATTTATTTAAGAGAGAGAGAATGAGAGACAGAGCACAAGAGGGAAGAGGGTCAGAGGGAGAAGCAGACTCCCTGCTGAGCAGGGAGCCCGATGTGGGACTCGATCCTGGGGTTCCAGGATCATGACCTGAGCCGAAGGCAGCCGCCTAACCAACTGAGCCACCCGGGCGCCCTAGTGGATTCTTTTCTGAAATCACAGTCGTGAGCAAAGAAATGGTCAAGAAACTTGGGTTTCCTTCATTTGCTACCTCCAAGGGCTGCCTCCATTCACCTGGTGGAAGGCCAGACGAAGACAGATAACGGACATATTGGAGGCTCTCTCTGGTAGTTATAGAACGTAGGACTGGAATTTAGTATTTGGAATTGAGTCTGGAATTTATTCCCCGTGGGCTGGAAATTCATCAGACAGTGGGGAGGATGGGTAGGACTAAGCCTCAGTCGGCTTAAACCAACCTTGGGAAAACGCCTGAGTCATAAGAGGCTTCAGGTTAAAAAGGTGTTCAGTCCAAGATGCGAAATGACTCGCCTGGTCGAAGATTTGGCGTTAAGCCACTGCTGGAGAGCCGAGCTGTGCTGAGGAACAGCAAATGAGAGGGTGACACAGTCCTAGCCTGCAAGGGGCTGAACAAGTCAGATGAAGAAATGACTAAAATCCAGCCTCGTAAACATCAGAGTTACGGCTAAGCTACGGATGCAGCCCACAGGACGCAGTGGGTGGCGGTCACCCCTGCCTAAAGTATGAAAACCTATCGGGGCCTGCCCAGTCGTCCCTGGTAGGAAAAGAGGAGCTCTCATGTGAGACTCCCTGGACAGTTTTCACATTAGCTGATTCATAAAGAGAGAATCATTCATTCAACAAACACTCACCTGCCTACCTTGTACCAGAAACGGCGGGGCTGCTATCACTGAAGTATATACATATGAACATTCTAACACCCTGTCTACTTACTACTGGTCAATTAAAATGCAGAAATCCAGAGTTTGCACAGACTCCGCTGCTCCAGAAGGTCAGTGTGGCATATACCCAGTCCCCGAAACACGCAGTAGCAAAGCTTTCTACTTCCTCCCTCATAGACAAGCTGAAGACAACGGTGACAAAACCCTTCCCTCACCGGTGCCGCATCCCTTTAATGTTGCCCCGACAAACGGCAAAGCCGGCGAGCAGCTCTGAAAGGAAGGGAAAATCCCTAAGCAGGTCTCAGTGGTGTCAGATTCTCTAATGGCCCCTTAAGATGCATGCTCAAGCCTCAAAGGACCAATACTTCCAGTAAGGGTTTTCAACATTTCGTGCGGAATAAATGTTTTTCTTCTACAGTTGGAGAAACAGCTCGCTGGCTTTTGAGAGCCGAACTTCCTGCCAGACCCTGTCATGGTTCAATATTGCTGGACATCCAGAAACCCTACACATTGATTTTCTTTTGTCCTGCAGACACATGGGAAAACATTCATCCATAACATCTGGACGGTCTTCAAGGAGCCTCCACGGCTGCTGTGAGCAGCTGTTCATTTCTGCACAGAAGAGATGACTGACATGAGATGCTGCTTCACCTTCTGGTTTCATGAGGCTTATTCACCAAAAAGGGTAGTGAGCAAAGGTTATCGTGCCTTGTTCTTCTCAGAAGCATCTACTGTACAACTGAAGCAATCTGCCTGCGTTACTCAGAGCTCACCGCAAAGCATCACCCAAACCGCTCAGCTGGGCTTATCTGAGCCTCTGGTCAATACCTACCAGTAAGGTGAAGCTGTGTTCTGGCAGCATCCCATACTGTTGAATGAGCTTCTCCCGGGTCTTACCGGGCAGCTCAGGGAGCCGCTCCCGAATCCAGTCAATATTGATCACTTGCTGTGGGTCTGCACCAGGAGGCAGAGACGCGGTGTCATAGAGCAGGAGCGGAGGCAGGTTGGGTTCGGGCATAAACCTAGGCAGGGAGAGGAAATGGGGTCTGACTTGGAAGTATTTGGCTTAATAGGAAAGAAAACCCCTATTATCGATACGCAAGTTTTGTGTTTAGATGTCATGTTACAATTCCAAAATTTTCTGGGGCGCCTGGGTGGCTCAGTCAGTTAAGTATCTGACTTTGGCTCAGGTCATGATCTCACGGTCCTGGGACTGAGCCCCATGTTGGGCTCCCTGCTCAGCAGGGAGTCTGCTTGTCCCTCTCCTTCTGCCCCTCCCCCTGCTCATGCTTGCTTGCTCTGTCAAATAAGTAAATAAAATAAAAATCCAGATATTTCCTAATGTCCCCGAAGACCTGCCCCTCTCCATGCTTATAAACCATGATGAATGAAAAAGGCACAACACAGGGTTGGTACTACACTGCGATTTATAATTGTGGATAAAGCATATCTTCACAAAGACAGAGGCTGGGGGAAAACAGGACCAAATGAGAACCATTTACTTATTAGGGAGAAAAATGACTTTTCCCCATTTAAAAATTCTCATTATTTTTAGCAGTATTTGTGAAATAAATGAAAAGTCAAAGAAAAATAAAACTTTCTTTCTTGAGAAGTGGAAGAAATAAATAGATTTTGCCTAAAAAAATGCAGAAGCAGGGAAGGAAGGATGAGTAAGTGGACCACAGGAGATTTTTAGGACAGTGATGCTATTCCCCGTGACACTGTAACGGTAGGTGTCACGTCACTGTTCGGTCAAAATCCACAGAATGTACAACATAAAGAGTGAACCCTAATGTAAACTATGGACTTTAGTTAATAATCAAGTCTTAATTTGTAACAAATGTACCACACTCTTTGTGGCATGTTTGTGGTACGTGCGTTTAGTCAGAGTTTTCAACATTTCCTGGGTAATAAATGCGAATCACACAGCAGAGCAGGATGTTATTACGGGAGCCGTGGTGGTGAGGCAGGGTATATGGTATATACCAAGGAGTACGTGGGAACTCTCTGCAGCACCACCACATATCACACCTTTCCCTCTACTCCATTCCAGCATCTAACATTTTCTGTCCACTTCTACTTGTCAAAGGGCTTATGCAGAAGCAGGATAACACACAACAAATGGGGTGCCAAGGTGACAGATCAGACGTGCATGCAACCCATTACCTCCATGCCAAATCTGTGCTGTGAATCAGTCTGACTTGTGAGGGCAGGAGGACACCAAAGGGAGGGTTCCTGAATCCTGCCTATTAACCTGAAGGCTTGAGCCAAAGCCACTGGTTGACCTAACAGCCAAACTCCAGGCTGAGTAAGAAAGAAGCATGAACAGAGTAGGGGGTGACCCTGGAGAACAAAGAAGTTCTTGGGAAGACTAGATTGAACCCAGAAGCTCACAGTGATGAAAACAATCTTGACTTTGACACACATGAGAGGGGCCCTTCAGAGGAGGTTCCCACTAAGGGTTTATGAGCTTCTTTCCCACATCACAATGCTACATTGGTTCCTCACTGACAGCAAGAGTTGAGCTTTGCAAAGGAACCAACAACTTTGTTGCTTACAACTTCAACCTTTACAACCTGCAAAACTCAATGGGGAGAAAGACAAAAGGTTCAATTTACCTTAAGCCTATTCTTATTATTTGCTTTATTTCTGGATCTCATATTAAGTCCAACTTGTTTAATTTTAATCAATTAAATAACATCACTCGAGTTGTGAAGGGAAAATGCCATTAACATATGCATTTCTTTTTTCCTTTCTTCTCAAGGATCTTCAGTGTGTTACTGAATTTGTAACTGAATATAAGAATAAGAACATCCTAGGCCCCATCCTCAACTGCCACCCTCTTAGCTCAATTATAAGAACTCTCACACAGGGGTGAGTCAACAGTGGCTTCCAACAGTTGAATCCCATTAAATAAGACACTCTGAGGCTACCAAACCAAGAAAACATTCTTTATTTCAGTATATATATATATAAAATAGGAAGCCTAGGCTTCTCATCATGCAACAATATAAACAGAAAGTGGTTCCTAAAAGCTATCCAGGTCCTTATGTTACTCTGCAAGTGGATTTGAAATTTGCCCCTAACCCCAAACACATGATGGTATTTTTGACAAGAGGAATAATCACCTGTAGTCTTGTTTTCCTTCTTTGTCTCTCATCGGCATGGTGCACCTACGACAGTTAAATAGGAAAACATTAAACCAACATGGCATGCAGCACTGCCCAGCCTCTGTGCAAAGGGAAGTTTCCCCTACCAATAAGGGACACAGGCACATTCAGGCTCTTTGACCTTCTTTGAGAGACACTTACATAACTACATGAAAAAATATTAATGAAAGAGAAATACTTAGAATAATTTTTTAAAAAAAGAGAAGAAATTGCTTCAACGTTTCCAGCTTCTAACCAGCTCAAACTCTAGTCTTCCGAGCTTCTTTCAGTCTTCTGCTAAAAGCACAAAATCCTCAAAATTCAGAGTCAGAATATTAGAGTCAAAGTTATCAAAACAAACAAAAAGGGGTACCTCTATAACCCCCCCTAAGCTTTCTTTACCTCTAGTTTGAATTGGTAGAGCTTAAGTCCGATAGAATTTAAGGACGTGAAAATCCTTGCCACGAAGTGGGTAAGCTGGAAGCAACTGAAGGGCCAGACTCAGCACTTACGACCAAGTATGGTTCAGTTTCAACCTCTTACCAGTCCTCCAGGATATTATATCCCTGTAGTGTACAGTATTTTCCTAACTCTACTAGTGAGGAAAGCATTAGTGCAGACAAGCTAAGTACCTTCTACAAGGTCACACGGCTGGTCTGTGGTGAGCCCAGAACTGCAGACTCATCCAGCTGTGTGCAAGATGCTGGTCAATGCAAACTCACCCCAGCTTGTCGTCAAATGAGCGCGTTTCATTCAGAATTTTACGTCCATTCTCAAGTTCGTGGATTTGTCTCTTAATTTCAAAGTCTAAGAGAAACATAGTAATTTAGTATCATATTTTGGTTCCTTTCATCCAATCAAGCAATAATTAGAAATCTTTCTCAATATTTAAGTCAAAAATAATCAAGAGAGTTGTTTATAATAATTCTTCCTTCATATGTTATTCTCTTCTCGTTGCTCTCATAGGACAATGATGCCGGCAAGGGCCTTTTAGGAAGCTCTGCTCCCTCACTTTCAGAGAAAGCTCAGGTTCACAGTGACCCAGTCCAGTTTACAGCTCTTGGCAGAAGAAGGGCTAGGACTAGTATCTAGGCCAACTAACTCCAGATCCAGGATGGCTGCCTATCACAAGTTCTTATCCAGGGATCCAAGGACAAACTTCACGGGGTTCTGGTACCTCCTGAAATTATATACAGAATGAGGGTGTGCGCATTTGTAGATTTTTTGGAGAGAGGGTCCAGAATTTTCATAGGGATCTATGACCCCAAATGATTAAGAGCCTCTGCTTTATGCCATGCTCCCTCACCACCAAACAAGGCAGACTGTGGTAAGCAAATCAGCCATCATTGTTAAGCTTCTTTCCGAAAGCAGCTTTAGCCTCCCCTTAACTCCCCATCCTAGTACGTACTGCCTTCCCTCATCCAAACCAAACTCTTATCTGAGCTGAGAAGCAGCAGTAACAGTAAAATGCGTCAGTTTTTGCTCCCTGTCTCCCCAACCCCGGTGCTCTCTCTGACTGAAATCAGATGAGGACTACGAGGCATGATGTAGGGAGAAAATGGGATGGAAAAATCACGGGCTTGGAGAGTTAAGCCCATCATAGTAAATCTGTGGTTCTTCGGGCCTGCGTCGGGACACAGGCAGAATCCTGTCTCGGGGGTCTCCTTCATAAATCATCAAGAATAACTCTACTCAAAATCTTGCTGCTTGTTTTTTTAGGTTACCATCACCACCTCTTGGAATAATGAATTCCTGAACACTTACTACCCACAGGGTGAAGCTGAACTTTCTTCCATTTGTTCTAAGCTTCCCCTTCACAAAACTGGGCTGTAAGCGTATCCCTGACCCAAACCTTTCATGGCTTCAGAGACATGAACTGTATCTCCTTTTAGAGAGAGAAGAATCCGCCCTCTTCGGTCCATCTACACATGGAAACCTTCCCTTACCCTTTCCCTTACATAAGTTATCGCCTTGACCATTTTAATGCCCTTTTCCTGAAAATCTGTAGACTCAGAGCATCTTCATTGAGGCTGATCATTGCAGGTTCACGATAAGGTTTATACAAGACTAGAGAATCTTTTTTGTATTGTTTCTAGTACTTTTCTCAACAAGACCCAGGACTCTACAAAACACACACCAAAGCATTCAGCTGTCTTGTGCTCTGTGCATCCTTGAAGGGATGCACTTGAAACTATCCTTTCCCTACATTCTCTCTTCCTCTCTAGATACTTTTGATTTTAAAGAATATATTTAGTCTTCTGAGATGTCTTCACAGTCAGCAACCTCTATGCGACTGCCTGGATGTTTATCTTGCTCAACTGTTCTACTTTAATTATTATATATCTGTCAACACATAAATACCCACAGCATGTACTCCAATAAGACCCAAACTCAATTACATAGGCCCATGGACTCTATTAGTAAAAATAGTAAAAAGCAGAAAAACATAATGACCAATTAAGTCAAACTATGGCCAATCTACAATGAATAAACATGACTTTATAAAGTTCATGCCGGTCAGAAAGAATGTGGTAAATGGAAAAATTGAACTATAGCATATTGCAGATCCTCCCATAAAGAGGTGGAGTCTATTTCTCCTCCCCTTGCAACTGCTTTGAATCGAATGTGTTGGGAGAGACACTGTCTGAGTTCTAGAGCTTGGGACTCAAGAAGCCTTGAGGTCTCTGCCTTCAGCCCCCTGGAAGGGCCCGTTGCCAAACAAGAAGGCCCAGGCTAGGCAAGCAAATGAGGAAAGATGACGTGGAAAGAGAAGTCTAGCAGACCCCCGGCACCAAGGCCTCAATGTGTGAGTGAGGTCATCTTGCACACGGATGAGCTGAGGCAGGATCTAATCCTTAGAACTGCAAAAGCTGAAATGGTTATCATATAAGCCACTAAAGTTTGGGGTGGCTCGTTACAAAGCAATAGGTAACTGATACAAAGAAGAACATTAAATGTAAGCTGACATTCACCTATTGCTTTGGCCAAAAACCTGGCACTGTTGAGATTCTTCACTTCAGTTCGAACACCCAGAGGCTCTCCAGGATGGTGCACAGATATATTGGCATCCACTCTCAACTGGCCCTCTGGAAGGAGAGAAAAAAGACAATTCTTTAGAAATTCTTTGAGGCAACATCGTCTTTTTTTTTTTTTTTTAAGATTTTTTATTTATTTATTTGACAGAGAGAGAGCCACAGCAAGAGAGGGAACACAAGCAGGGCGAGTGGGAGAGGGAGAAGCAGGCTTCCCGCCGAGCAGGGAGCCCTACCAGAGGCTCAATCCCAGGACCCTGGGATCATGACCCAAGCCGAAGGCAGATACCTAACGACTGAGCCACCCAGGTGCCCCACAACATAGTCTTTTTAAGTCTCTAGGCAAGCAATATCGAATTCCATTTGCTGTTTAGCCAGTTACAGCAACCTAACCTTTGAGAAGGTATGGCTGGTCCTGAAGCACATGGCTGGTACTCTGTCCACTTATGAGAATTACAGTCCTAAGGCATCTGCGGTGTGAATATATGTGTGTGTACATATTTGTGTGCACTTGTGCACATGAGGGAGAGAGGAGAAATTCTGTATATACCAGCTGGGGAAATCTAATTTCTTTTGTGCCAAATAAGAAAAACAACACTGTTAAAATGGAGAATTACTTTGCAGTTTTATCCTGAGTTTTTATGCAGTGTCAGAGCTGGGTTGGGGGGAAGGCAGCAGAAATGATGATCTGAGAGATGCCTGGGTGGCTCAGTCGGTTAAGCGCCTGCCTCCGGCTCAGCTCATGATCTGGGGTCCTGGAATCGAGTCCCACATCGGGCTCCTTGCTGAGCGGGGAGCCTGCTTCTCCCTCTGCCTGCCGCTCCCCCTGCTTGTGCTCTAACAAATAAATAAAATCTTTTTAAAAAAATTAGAAAGAAAAAGAAAAAGAAATGATCATCTGATAACCCTGCACAGCTTTCAAATGGAATGTGGCTTTCCAACTGGGATTCTAGGAGATCCATGAGAGTCCTTGAGAATTTCTAACTCAAGGGCAAGAGCCAGAAGCCGGGTTTGTCCCCTCCTCCTTCCTCTGGGTACTATAATAATCTCTTCTTTCCACAAAAGGACTCTGAATCCTTCCTGATTGCTGTAAGGATTTGCCACAGCAGACAGTGCTGTTATGAAGGGGTGAATCTGTGCAAGAACACAGAGGGGGCCGCCCCCATCCTGGGAGGACATTCTCTGACCCAGAAACCCCCTTCAGATTAGGAACAGTAACCCCTAAGGAGACAGGTGGCTTGTGGAGAGGACTAAGAGGCTCTGGAGAGAGATGCAAAATCCTTAAAACAATCACATTTTACACCCTACAAAGTAAAGCTCAAGTTCTCCGTTCTCTAATTTCATTTACAATGTCTAAAACAGAACAGAATGACAAGACGAAATCCTGGACTTTTGTTTTCCGAGGCGGGTTTTTACATTTAAAAAGAACCTGCCAAATCTGAAGATTCTGATGGGCTGAATAAAAATTAATTTTCCAAGATTCCACAGCAAAAGCCTCTTAAAGTAATGAAATAGGGTAAATAAATTCCATGCCAAGAAACTCCATGGTCCTGGTCTCTGCTGCTCCCCATCCAAATGCTGAGCTGTGGGGCTTGGCCTCCTCCAAGCTTGAGAACTGCTGGCCGCCCACTGCCCTACTGTCTCCACTTGCTCCCTCAGAACAAAGGATAAGCTCCCCCACTCTGTGGCCCCGACCGCCGCCCATGCTGGCCGTCAGGGCAAAGGTGCCTGCAGCTCAGAAAGTACTCTATGTCTCTAGCACGGACGTCTCAACGGTTCGGACAATTTGTGCTTCCTTGAATCCAGGAAGTCCCAACTATTCCTGACATCGTTAGGTTCTTAGTCCAGGAAACTTGAAGTCATTTTCCCTGTCTCTGTTTTCTTTTCCCTCTATATCCAAACTGACAACTCGATCCTGTCGGTTCTCTTCCAGTACCCCTCATACCTGTCCCTTCCTCTCTACGTCCACAGCCACCACCCTCACTGGAGGACGTGGAACTGCAGACGAGGTTACAGAACTGCGTCCTGACTTTTAGTACAGCAACCCCCCCTTGTCCAGCTAGCCAGCACGTGGGCTGTGACTTCCATCCTGCTACAAGGTAGCAGGTACAATGATTCCGTCATTCTCTTTGCTTGCTCAAGTGCAGGGCCACTCCTACCGGGCCATCTCGTCTCCTCTGCCCGGTACTGAGGAGCCCTCATCCACTCCTGACTGACATGACCCACAATTTCCCCCTAACTCATTCCGTGAGAAAGCTTTCCTCCAATTGGGGGAGCTTTCTGCATACAAGTCCTTGCCCAGTCCGCTGGCTCCTGCATGTCCTCGTCATCAGTATTACGGTCCCTTCTGCGGCCTTTGCTCATCCTTCGGGGTCCCACTTTAGTGTTACCACCTTCCCCTCCTAGAAGCTCTTAATCACTAAGCCCATCTCCACTGGTGGCTCCTCTGAACTATGAGGATGGACACAGTCAATACCACAGAATTTAGCACACGACTACAGTCTATTTTGAATGAATCTTATCTTTAAGACCAGAATGGAAGGCTTTGGAGGGCTGCACCCAGATTTCAAACCCTCACCCACCTTCCCGGCCAAGAGCGTCATTCTTTCAGCTACCTCCTCTCTCCCACATCCGTCACTAAGCTCGCTTTCTCTGCAGTGCTTCCGGCAGAGGCATATACAAAGGCATCTCTCATGAAAAACAAAAATCAAACCAAAACCCCACACCCTCGTCCCTTGAACCCCACTCTCCCTCCATCAGTTACGAAGCTACTTTCCAGCAAACCCTCTCAAACATGTCCTGTTTGCGTGCAGCACAGCTTGCCTCTACTCTCTCACCTCCTGCTTCAGCTGGGCTTCCATCCCCGCCTCTCTGAAAATGCCTCCTCAAAGTCACCAGCGACCTCCCGGCTGCCAAATGCAATGGACACAGGACTTGTTCTGTCTTCACCTTCCTGGACACCCCGAGCAGTGTGCAACATAGCAACTAATCCTTCCTTCTTCAACTATCTTCCTCTCCCAGGTGCTGTGACCTTCTGTGTTCTTGGTCTCCCTCCTACCTCCCTGGACACTCTACTTCCACTTCGTTTGCTGGTGTTTGCTTTCCCATCCATTTCAGGACCCTCTTCTTGTGCTCTCTCTGTAGCGGTATGCGGCTTTAAAAACGAGCAATGTGCTGATAACGCCTCAGTTTCTCTCTTCTGCCCAGACCTCTACTCTGAGCTCCACACTTACCCCCAATGTCTACTTGACACCTCCACTTGGAGGTCTCACAGCCATTTCACTTTCCAGAACTACATCCCAATTTCCCCACCACAAAGCCATTCTTGTCTTCATCTTCCCAGTTTCAGCCCACAGCACCACCCAGCTCCTCACGCTTCTTTGAAGACATCCTTGATTTCTTCCTGCCCCTTGATTTCCACACCAGCCTGTTAGCAAATCCTGTTATTTCTAAAATCCACCTTGAATCTACTCAGCTTGATCTCTCCATCTTTACTGACACCGCCCTGTCCACAACAGCATCATCTTTCACCTGGACCACTGCAAAAGCTTCTTAGCTGATCTCTTTGTTTCTACTCTTACTCATCTGAAATCCACTTTCCACGGAGCAGCCCCAGAGTGGTTTTCTAAAACATTAATCAGACTGTGTCATTCCCCTGCTTGAAAGCCCTTCAGTGACTTCCCACTGCACTTGGGATAAAATTCAAACTTCTTACCGTTATTGGTAATCTATCCTTTGCCTACATTTTTCAGTCTTACTTGATGCCATAACCCCCTGCCTGTTATGCTTTCCCTCCAGTGGCCTTCTGTTACCTATGTTACCTCAGAGTATATTCTAACCTTTTCCTCATCTCAGAGACTTCGCCTTAGCTGTTCGCTGGAATGCTCACCCCTACTTCTATGCTGGCTGGAGCCTGAAGTCATTCTTCAGGTCTCAAATAAACGTCACCTCCTCTGACTGGCCCTCACTCTCCAACATTAATCTTTATCACGGCATCCTATTTATTTCCTTAGAGCACGTACCACTATAATGATTTAATTTATTAATGTATTTGTCTCCCTCATGGATATAAGCTCTAAGTAGCAGGAATAATAATGTCTTTTTCACTGCTATATTCAGAATCTAGAGCTGGGTTTGGCACAGAGTAACTGTCCAATAAATTAATACCTTGTTGAACAAGCCAAAACTCTGGTATTTTCCTGAGCAATGAGTAAGCAGATTGGTTACTGTCTCACAAAAGGTTCCTGATAAGTTTTAAAGTTCTGTCTGAATAGGATTAATCTACAGCTGGAATCATGTGAAAGGCCCATTTAGCTCGAAGGAAAACTTCCAAAGTATGCTGAGCTCTGCTCAACCAAATCTCAATTCTTGGAAAACAATTTTTTTTTTGAACTCAGGGAACCCTGAATTGGACCTCACCTGCCTTTAAAAATGAAACCATCTTTCACGATTTAGAATTTTAACTTGGATAAGGAATAAAAGCATGAATTTCAGTCTCTCTCAGAGAAGGCCATACATACTACATAAATGTCTGAGAGGAATCATTTAGTATCCTGCAGTGTTGAAAGAGAGTCCACTAGCCTGGATTTAAATACAGTATCAAACATTAACAAAAGACATTCTATCCAGTGAAGACAAAATACCTTTTAAACAAATTAAGTTAAATTGCCTCAAGTGCACAAAAGCCTTACCAGTCAGGTTTACTTCAATGCATTCTACAACACTGAGGGAGGGCCTTCATTCACACATCACCAGAATGTTATCAAGCTCAATTTCTACCCTCCAGAAGCAGAGATTTGTAACAGCAAAACTAAAAAACGATACCACTGAGCACAGTGATATGGTGCAGTTACATATTTTTTTTTCTAAAACACATTCACACATCAGAAATATAACATCAGGACAGAAAACTGTTTCTGTAAACAGCAGGGGCCTGAGGATTTAGAGAGGTCTGTTAAGCTATCTCATTCTGATCACTGGATGCTCTCCAGGACTTAAATAACAAGTTCTGACACACACACACACACACACACACACACACACATTTTACTGAACGTATTTCACAAAGCTTATTTATCCAAAATGAGTAGAGGTTCTGTAAAAGTAATACTATTTATTATTGCTAATAAAAGCACCAAACATTTACTGAGTACAGGCTACTTGTCAGGGCCTGTGATAAGTTTTATATACTTTATCACATTCATTCCCTACAATATAGCTTTAGACAAAGCCACTTTTAGACATCCTTTAGGCATTTCAAACTTAACATCTCCAAAATGGAATTCCAGATTTTCTCGCACAAAGCCACTCCTCTCCCAGGCTTCCCTGTCTCAGAACCCAGTGACACCACACCCAGATGTCCCAACTCTATCTGACAACTTGGATGATTTTCTTTCCTCTTCTTTTTCTTCCTTTCCCCTTCCATATATGGTTATTTGGGGACGCAGCATATAAATGTGGGAAGTGAAGCTCAGAGAAATCAAAATCCCTTGCCCAGGTTCTTAGAGCTAGAAGAGGTGGGACAGGGTCCCAACCCAGTTCTGCGACCTCAGTGTCCTCAGCACCCACACTCTGCCATCCTTCTACCCGAAACTGTCATCTATGGAGGCTGTGACACTGTCGTGGCTGCCACTAGAAACAGTGCGACGCAGGGCTTACAGAAAGGGCACCTGGGCTCAAATCCTAGCTCAGTCACTTCTTGTAAGCCTTGGAGAAACAAGCCAATCTCTCTAAATCTCAGCTTCTTCACCTGTACAACAGGCATAATACCACCTATCTCCCAAGAATGCTGTAAAGTTTAAACGAGAGGATAAATAATTTTTTAAAAATGCCTAGTGAGGGGTGCCTGGGTGGCTCAGTTGGTTAAGCATCTGACTTCAGCTCAGGTCATGATCTCAGGGTCCTGGGATCCAGCCCAGGGTCGGGCTCCCTGCTCTACAGGGAATCTGCTCGTCTCCCTCTCCTTCTGCCCCTCCCCTACCTCTCTTTCTCAAATAAATAAATCTTAAAAAAAAAAAAAATGCTTAGTGAACTGATGAGCACATGCTAAGTGTTCCAAGTGGCAGACATCATCACTGAAACATTTAGAATGTCTACTTCAGTACATATTCAACTCAACAGATGGCTCTGAGGATCTCAACAGTGGCGTATGTCCACTGACCAGGAAGAGACTTCTGGAGGCCAGGCTGAACTGATCCATGCTCATTAGCAAAACTATCAGGAACTCACTCAATCACAGGCCAGAGCAATTTAAACTTTATTCCAAAAGCACCCTGGGGCGGGGAGGGGGGGCGTCCACTGGTCCTAGGACGGTCCTCAGTTCTCAGGCTACAGTCTCCGATGCTGCAGGGTGGTCCTATGGTGGTGGGGCAGAAGCACGAGGCAAGCGGTTGGGGCTGCTAAAATGCTAAGAGCACAAAAAGCTGGACCCCTGCAGCCTCCAGGCAGACCTTCCCTCCCCACAGTACTTTAGCAACACCCCAGCCACTCTGCTGCTGTGCTAGGGGTGAAGCTGTTGGGAGTGGTATTTAAAAGCAACAAAAAAGTGTCACAACAAATGAGATTTAATGAATCCTTTCAGCGGTCACTGGCTGATGAGTTCCTGCCGTTACGGTTTATCTCTTGGCAAGGCCCCAGATGGGACGATTTCTCAGCTAACAGGTGGCCTGTTTATTATTCCATAGGTTTGCTAGGAGTCACAGGTATTTGGAGAGAGAATGGAAGAATAAAAACTTTCTTTAAAGCAGCAGGGAACTTGGTTAAGCGACTGCCTTCGGCTCAGGTCATGATCCTGGAGTCCCAGGATCGAGTCCCGCATTGGGCTCCCTGCTCAGCGAGGAGCCTGCTTCTCCCTCTAACCCTCCCCCCTCTCATGTACTCTCTCTCTCTCTCACTCTCATTCTCGCTCTCTCAAATAAATAAATCTTTAAAAAAAAATAAAGCAATAGGGAACCAACACTTAGTGCATAAATGGGTAACCATCCAGCCTGCCCATATCTGACTTATGTTCTTGGGTAAAAAAGCACCACGAGCCATAAATCTGACAGGAGGAGTTCTCTTACTCCACAACACAGCTGCACTTCTATAGAACAAACTTGGAGGCAGCCAACTTCTATGCCACTCATAATGTGCGGCTGTGTTCTTCCAGTCTTTAGCTTAAAGAAGATAGCAAATAGGCAAGTTCTGTCTCCAAGTTCAACTTGTACCACGGCTCTGACGTTGCAATTTGTGGCTTGTAACATGTCCTATGTGACAGATGTGGCATTACAATTTCAGAAGTCCTTTTGTAACACACAAGTATATTGTGTGACATAAAAAGGTTGGTAAACAGGCTTATAAACCAACAGGGAGATGAATCATCATCCTCAATGGTATTTACTGGCATCCACTGTGACCACTTTGCGATGGTTAATTTTATGGGTCAACTTGACAGGGTTATAAGGTGCCCAGATATTTGGTTAAACAGTACTCTGGGTGTGTCTGTAGGGGTACTTCTGGATGAAATGAACATTTGAATAGGCAGACTGAGGGAAGCAGACTGCCTCTGTCATTGTGGGCGGGCCTCATTCAGTCTGCTGAAGTCCTGAACAGAACAAAAGCAAGAGTGGGGTAGGGGGGGATTTGTTCTCTCTGCCTGCCTGTCGTCTAACTAGGACACTGGTCTTCTCCTGCCTTTGGATTCAGGCTCAGACTGGATTGCACCACTGGCTCTCCTGGTTCTCAGGCCTTCAGACTTGGGCTGGAACTATACTCTCGGCTCTCCTGGAGCTTGCCCTCCTGCAGCCTCCTCACTACAGATCATGGGATTCTCAGCCTCCACGATCACATCAGCCAATTCCTTGGAATAAATCTCTTTAAACATACATACATACATAAACACACACACACACATATACACACATTCTATTGGTTCTGTTTCTCTGGAGTATTCTAATACACCACTGTACTGAGCTATGAATTAATAATTGCCATATGCAGAATCTGTATCTTTTCTCCACTCCTGCCTTTCTCAACTCAAGGAATGCTCTGTGAGTGGCAAGAGTTTTTTTTTTTTAAAAGCCCCTTGTGGGGCACCTGGGTGGCTTAGTCGGTTAAGCATCTACCTTTGGCTCAGCTCATGATCCCGGGGCCTTGGGATTGAGTCCCGAATCGGGCTCCCTACTCAGCGGGGAATCTGCTTCTCCCTCTCCCTCTGCTGCTCCCCCTGCTTTGCTTTCTCTCTTTCCTGCTCTCTGTCAAATAAATAAACAAACAAAAAACACAAAATCTTAAAAAAAAAGAAAAGCCTTTGGGAACAGAAAACATGGGGTAATCATGGGAGAGGCCAGCTTTCAGGGACTTTAGGGTGGGCAATGGAGTGCTAGGAAGGGGCCATAAGAGTGAGCCGTTAAGACACTGAGTTTGACCAAAACCTGTATTCTTTATATCCAATTTGCAAACACTTAAAATGCATAGTTTGCTTGGTCTCAATGGCACAAGTGTTTCTTTTGTTTGATTTCCTACTACATTTCTAACGAACTGAAGATATTATCTCAAAGTTAAAGTTTTGTGAAATCATAACCTTGCCTTCAGCTGTAGCTGGATGAAAATTCTACAAAATAAGAAAGAGACCTGAAGAAAAAGTCAAGTAGCAGCTAAGTGCTACCTACACAGAAACTCAGAGCTATTAAATAAAGTGTCTTCTGAGAAAGATGAAACCGTTCAAGCACATTATTTTATTGATCCTCATTTTGGTGCAAAACAACATTTGGATACAAGACGCCAGAAGAAAACATCTAGTCCTTTGTTTAAAAAAAAAAAAAGAAAGAAAGAAAGAAAGAAATAAAAGAAACAAATATACAACAGGCCCAAAGCAGAGTGACTTGCCCCCACGTCAGCAAACCAAACCTTCACTGCAATTTCAGCCTCTCCCAGGAGGGTGGCCTTTATCCAGTCGACCTGGAAGTTCCTGATCAACACTAGTGAGGTAATCTGCATGACAGACCCCCACCCTCCTCCCAAAGAAAGGTGACCTTGCCTGGAACAATCCACTCTCTGCTAGAAAACGTCCTCTACCACCCCCTTCTCTTTATAAAAGCCTACCATTTTGTCCAGCTCCTTAGAGCTCCTTTCTATTTGCTAGATGGGATGCTGCCTGATTCATGAATCTTTAAATAAAGCCAGTCTGATCTTCAAATTTACTCAGCTGAATTTTTTTTTTTTTTTATTGGACAGAGAGAGACACAGAGAGAGAGGAACAGAAGCAGCGGGAGAAGGAGAGGGAGAAGCAGGCTTCCCGCTGAGCAGGGAGCCCGATGTGGGGCTCGATCCCAGGACCCTGAGATCATGAACTGAGCCGAAGGCAGACGCTTAATGACTGAGCCACCCAGGCGCCCCTCAGCTGAATTTTTTTAACAACTCCTAATGTCAACTTCCTGGGCTCAGTGCCTCTGCACTGTTGTTAGTGTGTTTAGTTTTGACTGGGGGTTCATTAAGGAATCCAAGGAAAACTGAGGAAAAAAAACCCCACAGGCCTAAAGGCTGACAAAACCCTGTAAACAACCCCAGGGTAGCTGATGTAGAGAACAAAAGTCCAGCGAGAAAAGATGTGGGAGGCCGAAAGAGAAGGTAAAGGATGAGTGAGGGACACAGCCTCTGTGGCTTCTACCTGCCATATTTGCCTGGCTGGTCCCCAGGGCTTGAAGTATCAGCTGCAGCTCCCTGACGGCTGACGCTGCCTCTTCTCCACAGGACATGTCGGGCTCCAGCACCACTTCCAGAAGGCCAACTCCTACCAAAGACAGGCAGAGTCAGCCTCACTGCAGCTCTCCAATCGGACCCGCAGATAAATTCGGCTGAGGTCTCAGGAAGAATCTGCATCACTGATGGGGTCTCTACATGGGTTCTAGCCTTTGCATTATTTCTGCTCCCCCTCACATTTTGATTTTTAACTTTGGTTCTTTCAACGTCTGCCCGAGATCTCAAAGCTGTTGGGTCTGTGACTAGGCGGCTACGTTCGTCACACTTTATGGGCGGGCTGTTAGCAAGCCCGATGGGGATCACGGGGCAGGCTGTGCTCGCTAGTCAGCTGGGCCAATACCAACGTGGATATTTGATCTGGCTCTGTCAAACTCTTGGGCCTGTTTCCTCAAATGGCTTGGGAGAACCCTAGAGGGGAAGAGAGGTGGCCGGAAAGAAAGGTAAGAGACAATCCCCAGGCCTACCTGCCCTGTTCAAATCGATGAGCGTCTGAGACCGCGGCTCATCATGGAGGCTTTTGCCACTGTCTTGCTCCAGCTGGATCTGCTTGATCCTCACGGTCCTGGTGCTCACCTGACTCGGCTTCTTCCCCACAGAGACACTGTACGCTAAGCTGCCATTCACAGCAATCGGGAGTCTTTGCTGGGTAATTTGGTAGCCTGCCTGCACACAACATGCATTGCGTTACACAGTCACTAGGCCATAAACAGAAGCTGGAATCCAGTTTACGATTTCTTTTTCTGTCACAAAACTATAGGCTTACTTAAAAACACAACACAAGAGAAAAGGAAAAGGAGAAGAAAATTAGCTTATGCACTATAGCCATAATTTAGCCTGGCCTCTTCTGGCTTCTCCCACCCCCTCCCTTATCTTCCCTGCACCTCCCCCAACCCCCAATAAGGATGCAATAAACACCACGAATCCTGTCTTCCCTACCAAAGTGCCATTTGGGGGAATAACAATAATCTCATTGTCAGAGGCCTCTAAGAGAAGAATTTATTGTCTCCACTTAGCTCATTAGCCTAAACCCTGCATCTGATCACTGGGCTCTTGACAGACCCTCCGTATTAGGAAGTGCTGGCTAAGCATTCTGCCACCCACGCTCAGCACGGCAGACAGCAGTCGCTAGCGCACGGAAGCTTGTTTTGTTCCTGCTCTTTAAGCTAGCCAGTCATGCCAGCTGCCCTCCCTGCCCCGACAACTTCCCGTTTCTCGCTGGAAAACGCTCCGACACTCACACTCAGCTAACAGAAAACACCAAGTACTAAAGTACTGACGGATGCTGCAAGGGCTCCCCCCCCACCTCCTCCTGAGTAGAGAAGGAATGACTCTCGAGTGCCCACAGGCATCAACACCCAGTAAAGAGATGGGAGGGCAATACGGAGAATGCGAGGACAGAGAGGCAGTGCCTGTGGGCTCCCAGATACCGTGCTGAGTTCTTTACACCGTTGAATCCTCACGACAACCCTATGAGGGAGATGCGGGGCACGGAAGGGTTAGTTACGGGCCACAGGGCTAGTAGGTATCCATGCCAGGATCTGAACTGAACATGGACGGTCTGGCTCCAGAGTCTGTGCTCTTAGCCACCAGTCCAGTATTTTCTAAACTTCCCCTGCAGGAGAAATCATCTGGTGGGCTGCACCTGAAGAGTTTCTGATTCTGCAGGTCCGGGGCAGTACCCGAGATTTAGATTTCTAACCAGATGCTGATCCGAGGGGTGCGGGGGACCACACTTTTGAGAACCACCGCATTAGGCAACTCATTCTCTGTGATGAAACAGCAAGTCTCAATCTGTAAAAATTAAACTCTGAATCGGGTTGCTGAATGAAATTCAGGATGCTCAGTTATATCTAAATTTGAATACACTGTTTATTCAGATAAACAACAAATACTTTTTTAGTCTAAGTGTGTTCCATGTAAGATGTGGCAACACTAACTCTGGTTATCTGAGCCACCTGAGCCAGAGAGAGCAGAAAGCCATTGAGAATGAAAACATCTCATTTTAGTCGCATAATGCTAAATATTCCACCTTCACCAAACGGATTATCACTCTTAAAGGATGGAAAAAACGCAGCTTCATTCCCTTCATCCTACCAAGCAACAGAATTTGCTAGGAGCTGGCAGCCAGGGGGAAAAAGCAGCAGCGAGCAACTGGAGAAATAACATTCCGGCTACATTTCTTATTTAATTCTACTTCCGTCCTCATCTACTAAAGACCGGCTCACCCTCATCTTCAGTTCAAGGAAAATAAAATGAAGCAGTATCACCACTATCATTTTTCTAGATCTGAAGAAAGGGTGTGCTTACTATCAGAGGCTCAGAGCAAATGAAGAAACTTTATAATTTTAAGGAAAAAAACAGGTTAATATTGGGTTTGCTGCCAATTTACAGCCAATTACTGTTGTTAGTCGAGGCTTCTGGTTCATGTGTCTGCTTCCTATTGTCCACTTACTTGCTCCTTGTGAGATGACAGAAATGTCCCTAGAGGGGACAGTCCTATTGTTGGTAACTTCAACTTAAAAGAGGGAAGCTATCACTCTGTCTATAGAGCTGTCGTCTGCATTTACTGTCGCATCAGCCGCAGAGTTAGATTTGACCTCACAGGCAATTAGCACCGAACACCATGGCCGGCCTGAGCCTGAGAACACGGCCTTCTGCTCCCTCTTCAATTATGAGGGAGCCAGCAGAAGCATGAGCCTAAGCAAGGAGTCAGCAATCAGGACAACCGCATCCAATCTAGTAAACATCGGGGGGCACCTGCCTTCATCAGGGCCAGGCAGAACCTCCCGCTGACACGGACAGAGCTCTGACTGGAAACACGAGAGGCACAGCTACCCCCACTCCCCAGCTCTGAGAATGTACAGAGGGCGGACCGCAAAGCATACTTACAGGGAGGTCCGCATAGAAGTAGTGCTTCCTATCAAACAAGGACTTCTTGTTGATGCGGCAGTTCAGTGCCAGGCCTGTCATCACAGCTGCTTCTACGCATCTCCTGTTGAGAACCTATGGAAGCACGACACACAGCTCCTCTCAGATCCAGGCTGAACAAATGCTTCTCCCACATACTGACATCCTCCCTGAATATTCAATTTGGCCCCCCGACAGGCATTATCTCTGTGTGGGCAGCTCCGGTTCACAAGCAGACTCTTGTCTGTCTGGAAGCGGGAAAACTTTATATAAAAAAAGAAAACGCATGTGGTGGTGGGTCCTGCAGGGTATTTAATGAACTGCCACATGGGCGATCCGTTCCTCCAGTATCTGGCATGAAAGTTAACGGGGAGGGACCCAGAAAAGCTCATTAGAGTGGGGACTATGGGGAATCCACTTAATTTCATTCCCTGTGCAAGCAGAACAGGGAGCTGGTCAGAATACAGAAGAGGCATGGGTTCCTAAAGAGGAGGGTCCAAGAAGCAGCTCACCAAGCCACCTCAGTGAGGGTGGAAAACACTTCAGCAGAGAAAGAATGAAATTCTGGAAACTCTGGAAAAAAAAAAATGTTTCTGGAGAAACGGCCCTGGCCATTTCCTCAAGGGCTGGGAAATGTGGCCTGCCCACCCTCCCCTCGCTTTCAGTCCAGGCCTCGTGAACTCGAGAGAGGTACAGACCGAGCATGACCCATACCCTAACTTTACTTCCTGAGCTGCCGGTCCCTCCAGGGGCTCCCGGAGCCCACAGGTTCCTTCTGGATCCCATCCTCCCCCACTTTCAGGTGTGAATGACCAGGAAATGCTTAGCAAACTTCCCAACCCAAAAGGAGGTGAACAGCTTTTAAGAACTTTGGGGGTAGGGACGTGGGGGTATGGAATAAGGCCGACAACTGGAGATAAGGAGAAAGCATTAAGTTCTGGAGTCAGACAGTTTCTCCTATGTGTATCTGTGTGAATGGAAGGCTCAGTATGCTCATCTCTGAAGTAAGGATTTAATATCTACCTTGAGGAGCACATGAAGAAACAGCCAGAACATCTACTCCATAGTAAGAAATTAATAACTAGCTCATTTTCCCCACTCTGCTTCGGGGAAATTTGTGAGCATGTTGTCCTTGCTAATGAAACACACTTCTATTCTTTATTAGAATATTTATGATGTTCTTTAGTATATTTGGCATACTCTTATTTATGTAGGGCTTTCCACAGCCACCATTTTATTTTAGCCTCACAGCAGCCCTGTAGGGAAGGAATTTGTATTATTTCAAAATTTTAGGAAAAGAAAAAACTAAGACCCAGAGATAACAAGAGATTCATCCAAATCACAGAGATGGCAAATTAGTAAAGTTAGCTCTAAAGTCCACACACGCCCTTGCCTAGTGAGTGACAAACAGAATCCCAGTGGCTTAGGGACCTGCCCTCCAGGCTGGAATGAGTGTGGCACCCCTAACACAAGCACAGCTTGCGGATCAAACACAGATTTCGAAAACAAATCTATACAACAAAATGTTAAGAGGCATCTCTACTTGCTGCAATATACAACCCCTCGAAGACACCCCAAACGGCAAATCTCCCTCCTGGTAACATCATCACATGCCTTCTCTTCAGAAATCCGGTTATAAGACGGAGTCTTCTCACAGCTTCTATGTGGACTTCTTAATTCTGGGCCAAGTAATATTGTCAGCTCTGCAGTAATGGTTCTCACGAAGAAATGTGTGTAGGGGGAGGGGGGAACAGGATGCTCTAATTATTGATGTTTTCACTTGCTAACGTTTGGTGTTTTCCTGAGCAGTTGTTACCACAATACAAACATAGCTGGCAGAGAATGCTGCCAGCTCCCGGCAAGATGAGTCGGGTCAAGACCCACGAGAACGCGAGAACGCGGAGTTGGCGTCCCAGCCCGGGGCCCTGCTCCTCCTGGGCTCTGCCACAGCGTGGGCTTGCTGTAAACTGCCCGTCTCGCTTATTTGTACCAGTTCTGGCTTTATCACTCCCACTGGTTTTCCAGCCACTGTTGGCTCTTTCGTCCCTGTCCGGTCTGCCCCTCCGGGGGCCCGACCTGCTTCCTCCCTCTAAGCGTGAAGAGAACCCAGGTTTGTTTTGTTTGCTTATTTCTGCACACGCATTGCTAACAAACTTCCTGCGCCTGGCCCTGCAAGGGAGTGAGGGGCAGCGAGCGATCGCGGACTCCCACTGTGCCTGCATGCACAGAAGGACACAGGCACTTGAGAAACCATCAATTTCCAAAGAATAAGAGCGCATGAAAACACATAAACATTACAGCAATATTGAATATACTTTAATCTTTTTTTGATGATTTAGAAGACTCGAAGTACTTCAGGGTCAGAATTATAAGCATCAATCATCACCACACTATAGTTGCACAGAGGGGCTAGTAAATAGAGTGCCAGTTAAAAGAATGCCACGAAAAAAGAATTTATTATGATCTGAGTCAAGCTGCCTATGACAGATGGAGGTCCAGGTCAGCATATTTGGAGGACGGGATGCAGACGTGGAAAATTCAACTTGGGCTGTCTTTATTCTGAAAGACTTCTTAAGTGTCTATAAAGTAGATTTTAGGGATACAGAGGTAAACAGGACTCTGTCACTGGCCTCAGTGAATGTGCAGTGGAGACATGAACCCGCCAGCATCTGAAACATCCTTGTCAAGTTCACCTTCTATACTAGGAAGATCTTGCTAAAAATGCAACTCTTACAGCATTCCGTTGCTTAAAATCATGACAAAGGCTAAGCTTTTTACAGGATCCAGTTCCCACCTCCTTCTTCAATTTCATCTCCCATCAACCACCCTCCCCCCCAACACATGGTCCATCTCTTATACAAACCATGCTGACCTGTGGACTCTCCCTCTTCTCATTCCATTCAAAATCTGATGTCACCAAATCTATGAAACTTTCCTTACTATTCTTCCTACATACCTCTCTGGCCTTCTACACACTTCCATTTGTGCTAGTACGACACTGGACTGAATTTATTTACATATATTTCCAATAGACTAATTTCCATGGGGATGGGAATTATCTGTTTATCCTTGCATATCCCTGGAGCATAAAACAGAACTGAAAAGTAGCGGTGCTCAATTAATGTGTGTTGAACTCAAATGAGGATGGAGGTGATGGATATGAAGGCAAGGTTTCAGAGAGGCACTGACGTCTCAATCTTCTCTAGGGTGTTACTTGCCACTTGCTGGCCTTCAACTTGTTTCTGGAAGTTTCCTGAAGCAAAAACCATTCATGTATGATGTGATCAAAGAGGTAACTTGAAAATTCAAAGACTTAATTTGTCCCAAAGAAAGCATGTTCCAGAAGTTTTTTTTTTTGCAATTAACACAAAGGGACAAAGGATCTCAAGGTTAGCCACAAGAGCTTTCATGCAGAAGGAAAGCAATGATCCCTGGAACTCACATAGCATACCTTTCTCAATGGGAGTCTTAGAGGAGGCTTCGCTCTGCCTTCAGGAATGATCATCAGCAAGTATTTATTGCACAGGAGGTGTGCTACACACAACACATACATTTGCCATTTAACCCTCTCAGCAATCCTAGGGCAGACACTATTATGATCCTCATCCTACAGATAATGAGGGGAATCCTAGAGATTAAGTAATTTGGCCAAGGTGACCCATAGGATAAATGGCAGAGCCAGGAAGTCAGACTGCTGGCGCTCAGGCTCTCAATTACTACACTCTACCTTAAATCTTCAAAGAATAAAGCATGTTACTGATAGCTAGCAACACTGCTAATATCTGGCCATAACTCTGGAGCAGCAAGCAACTCAGACCAAATTCCACTGCAGATACTGTAAGGCAGATATTGTTTCTAACATCTTCTTCACAGTGTCTATAGGTTTGTTTTCAGATGTTGAGCTCCTAGGGAGCAAGCACTGTGTTCTTCTCAATCTGTAAAACAATACAGTCTCCGGCATGTGGAAGATTTGACACTGAGTGGACCTACAGGTTTTCTCCATTAGCAGGGGATGTCTTATTGACAGATTTCCGAAACCCTTAGACACAAGAACTACCCATAAAAGGATTTCTAAAATAAGTGAAGAGGCTCTTCTATTTTAATTAGAAGATAAGAAAAGTAGAGGTAGAAGAAATGTGCATCAGACCTCCAAGGACACACTGTGCCCCAATTTGAGAAATAGTCTTCTAGTTTTAAGACTTATTTAGCCTAACCAAGCATTTCCTAATCTCTGAGTATAATGGACCATCATTTAATGACAACTTCCAACATATGCCCTCCCCCCCACCGCCTCCAAAAAATCACCAGGCCGCACACACATTCTACTTTCTTAGTATATCTTGACTTTCCCCCCCATTCCTCTAAATCCTCTGGTTTAATTCAGGCCTCTATTCATACATCCTCACCTCCAGCTGAGACTTTTGCACTAACCACCTGGCCAGGTTTCTCTCTCTCCATTCCAGTCCTCTATGATCTTCACACCCGTTCAAGAGTGACCTCTCCAAAGGGTAAATCTGTCCATGCAATGCCCCTGCTAAAAACCCTTCTTCACTACTTCTCATCACTGAAAGGACAAAGTCCAAGTGTTTGGTGGAGTTTTCTGTGTCCTTCATGATTTAGCCCCTGACTACCTTTCTAGCTTCCTCTTCTTCCACTGTCCCGGACCCCATAGACCCTCATGCAACCTTGCATTTGACACGCTTCTGTACAAACTGCTGCTTCTGCTGGTAATGCCCTTTTTTCTCATCCACTTGAGCAAGACCTTAGCCCCTAGCAAGGCTTGGATGTCCCACCACTACTGTGGTCTTCCTTCTCTTCCAGTAAAGCACCATCTCCCCAAGCAGACTGAACTCCCTGAGGGCAGTCAAGTCATTTTATCTTATTCCCCTCTGCCCCACTACCTAAATGCAATACCAAGCTGATTACACATTAACGGAGGTAATGAATAATTTAATATTCCCTTTATCAACATCCAAAAGACTATAAGTTATGAAATAAAAGCAAAACTGTTCTATAAAATACATGTGTCTGGAAAAAGAAACCACTCTTAGTATGTAAAACAGAACAAATTTGATACAGAGACTTTATTACACAGA